CCGGATTTTTTTTTTTTTTTTTTTTTTTTTTTTTTTTTAAAAGGCTATCCCAGCTCTAACTTTTAAGTGAATGGAAAGTGCTCTCAGTTCATTCAGGCATGTTTTATCTTCTGCCTTAACTTTGATTCTTTTCATATACTCATGTTGCTAATTCCTATTGATTTTATATTAGGTCCGTTTGATTTCTTTTGGTTTTGTTGCAATTATTTGACCATTTCTGCAGGTAGTGTGAAAATCAGAACTGAGGCACGGCTGCCCTTTTTCAGGATCCTAGTCTTTGAAATTAAATTTCAGAGACTGTAAAGATGCATTTCATAATAAGGAACAATAGGTGCCATAGAGCTAAAATGTAACCATAGTTCTAATAAAACTGACATAGTTCCTTCTTGTATATGTTCTCATTCATTCTAGCTGGTATAATGTATCTAGCATTTGGAGATGCTTTGTGCTTTGAATTCAAAATGGAGTGGCTGTTGGTAATTAACTGTATGCCTGTCTTCTCCAAAGAAGTTGAAAAACTGGGGATTTTTTTTGTGCTTTAAAGGCGAGGAGGCACAGTAGCAGACCTATTATTCTGTTCAATTAAAATATGCTACCTCAGTGCTACAATTAAACTGCCTGGTCTAGTGTAGTTTCCTACGTGAGAGTGGAGGGGAAAGGAGTGCAACACAAGACATGAAGTTCAACAAATAGATGACTGATGTTATTTTTATTGTAAAACCAAGCCAAATGGATGATTGTGTATTTTGCAGTTGTTTTGATGCACAGTTCTCTTACAATGTTAAGAAAAAAAAAAATTTGTTAGGGGGAGATGTGGTAAATCTTTAAGACTAGCTATCATGTTTGGTGTTACTAATGGAGGGCAATGTGATTTAAATGCTCTGAGTGCAGTAGAGATAGTGTTTTGGGGATTAAAATGGTTTTAAGACTTCTGCTGTACTGTGGGTCATGCTCAGCAGAGAAATACTGATGAGGTAGCGACCCTCAGGCTTGTGAAGTTGGCCATTATTTATGAGATTCTGCTGTTCTAAGCCATCTTGTAAAAATTGTATTGGAAGTGTCAAGGGTATTCTGATGTAGGGCTTACTGATGGAAAATTGGACCTGAAGTTGAAGTGTTGTCTTTTGTGTAAATTTAAACACTTCATCAATAGCATAAATAAATTTTTACATCTGACAAGGCAATAAAATCTTGGGTCTCTTCTGTTCTTGTATCAAGTAATGTTGTAATGCGTGTTGTGTGAATACTATAAACTATTTTATTTCAAACACCAATAGACTTGTGAAGTTCATGGAGTGTATCCTACTCTTCATTCAGAGACAGGTTGGGAATACTAGGAAAGGAGACCACTAATGGTGACTGAAGTTATGGGCGTGTCTCCAAATTGCATCATCTTAAAGTCTGAGCTGCTAACTGAGTGTAGAGTCATTTCAGCTTGGTGGCAGCCAGTGCAGTATTATTACCTACTTGGTGGGGGGCAGCTTACATAGGTCTGTAACTACCTGGTGGGTGAGTAAAGGTGATAGAGCCAGGCTATTCTTGATGGTGCCCAGTGGCACAGGACAAGAGGCAGTGGGCACACATTGAAATGCAGGCAATTCCACATAAACAGAAGAAAAACTTTGGGTGGTCAGACACTGGAACAGATTGCCAGAGAGGCTGTGGGGTCTTTGTCTGTGGAGGAGCAGCTGTAGCTGACTCTGCTTTGAGGCATGTAGTGTCCTGGGCCATCTCCAGAGGTGGCTGCCAGCCCAGGTGCTGCTGTGATTGTGTGCAATTAAAATTACCAATGTACCACTCTTTTTCCAAGCTCACCAACCATCGCAGCCTGCCAGGGCTGAGCCGCACACTTTTCACCTCATGCCTGAAACTCAGTGCGATCTTAAAAAAGAGGCATCTCTGCCCCAAACCCAGTCTTAAAGCTATTGTAATTGCCTCTTCGTAAACAAATAGGTTGATTTCCATTCCTTTCTCAAATGATGTCATTCTGCAGTAATGAAATTAAAAAAACTCACCAGGCTAGAGAAAGGAAGGTGCGTTTAAAGCTTTAATGTAACGCGTTAGAGCTTTTTAAGGCACATCTGGGCTCATGTTCTTGCTCCACAGTTTGTTTTTGCATTTTGTTTTGTAATTGTTATAATGTTTTGAAAACAAAGATAGAACAAAAGAATAAATAAACTACTTGGAACAGGGATCACATTAAGTGTACTATCAATAAAGCACTCTCTCTGGTCAAAGGCACCATTGAAAATCCACTTCATGAGGGATCCATCTAGATGGATCTAGATCCATCCCTAGAAAGCTGGGATGATGGCAAGAACATGCTTTAGGAAAAGATAAACTGTAGTGACAGTTGAGGCCCTAGATAAACTCTGACCCAGGACATGAAAATAAGTTTTCCTGTTCGGGGCAAGTCCTGTGATTTCCTCTGCTTCACTTCAACTCCTTTTCACATTACATAGGAAGGATGTACATCTGAGGACAGTTACCCAGCTCTGACTGAAAAGCCCAGTCCACTGGGTTTGATAATAGATGTATCGTATGGTGTGGTGATCAATGAAGGTCAAAAGGGTATGTCACAACTATACTTGTTTAAGGTGATCCTAGTGTCATCCTAGTGTCCAAACATCTGTGAAGTGTAAAGAAAAGCAGTAACTTCTGAACTTACGTGAGCTTTTCCCAGTAAATACTTTTCCACCTCTTCTGGTCATACTTGTTCTAGCACTTACGGGAAGGTTCTGTCCTTTCCTAGAGTTCACAAGCTTACTTTTTTTTTCCTAATGCCCTCTTTTTTTCCTGTGTCTTGCACTGGTTAAAATTCTAAAATAATACTCAATATTGAAGTATATAAGGCCACCTTTGACTTGAGAGAATTTATGAGTTTTAATTATATATGGCCTGGGAGTACCACAACTTTGTATATTAAATTGTATTAACAACTGTAACTTGCCAAAAAAAAAAAAAAAAAAAGAAGGCTTGTCTTGCATGACTGGGAATGATGGTACTGGCAAGTCACAGAAGTCCACTTCTCCTTTTTATGTGATGGAACTCTGAAAAATAAGTAGTTTTTTGATACAATAGGAACAATTTTGGGAGAGAACAATCTGGGGATCTCCTGAGACCAGCCTAGCCATTTCTGATATGTTATCTTGTGCCTGCTCTTGTGTCCTTCCCTTAACTCATACTGAAAAAATTCAGACACTTGTGCTTTTTTTGAAAGATTTGTGGTTGTCGCATTTGGTATACTAGTGAGAAATTGGCTTGGTCAGGTCACAGAGAAATTTCAAAGTAATCAGTCTGTATAAACTTTGTCCTTAAAGGCCAACTTTTTCACTTTTCTGATTTCTCTTTTATTTAAAAGTACAAAGCAGACTTAATTGCCATGCCTGGGAGGCAAATTCTTTGTTTCATCTTTGTCCAAGTTGAATGGGGTGACGGCTGAATATCCTGATTTATAATATTTTTCCAAGGAAATGTTCTTAGAACATGCAATGGCCTGTCTTTATATATAATGTATTCTAAACAGAACATAAGAACAAAGTGATATTTCAGGATTATTTTTGTGTGCATGTAAGTTTGTAAGTAATAATGCTGAACTAGAACTGCTATAAACAGAAATACAACTACCTTTTTCCTGTGCAGCATTTCCAGTGACATTTTCAACAGACACACTAGGATCAGTTCAGGGTGTGTTTTGTGTAATTGGTGGCCTTTACAGATGGATCTCAGATGATGACGTATCATCTTTTTAATATCCGTGAGGTTCTTCAGCAGAAGATGGGTTACTGCATCTGCAGCATGTGAGCTATGATCTAATAGTTTTCTTCCATTTCTGGTGCAAATGACTGGCGCATGTTCTCAGTAATAACAGGCAACACCAGTTATCTGTGGTCTCATATTATTTCTGTTTCTGAGAAATGATTCTATGATGAGCATCACTCAGTAGTATATATTGCATGTTTCTTCTTTTTAATAGTTTTCTTAGTAGTGTAATATAAATTCCCATATGGCAGCATGTTCTGAGTTAAATTTCTCTTTTTAATATTCCTATATTGATGTCAGATTTTTCTGTCCTTCGCAACAGTGAAATGCAAAGTATTAGAAGATACGAGTATGTATACTCAAATGAATCACAGAAGCATGCATAATTGCCATTGGGTTTCCTCTGCTAGTTAGCAGACAAATGTGAAATA